CTCAACATAAAGAAAATGAAAATCCTCACAACTGGACCAATAAACAGCATTACAATAAATGGGGGAAAGATTGACGTTGTCAAAGATTTCATGCTCCTTGGACCCACAATCAACACCAATGGAAGCAGCAGTGAAGAAATCAGGGGTCATATTGCACTGGGCAAATCTGCTGTAAAAGACCTCTTTCAAGTGCTAAAGAGCAAAGATGTCTTTTGAAGACTAAGGTGGGCCTAACCCAAACCAGGGTATTTTCAGTTGCCTCATATGCATGTGAAAGCTGGACAATGAATAAGGAAGACTGAAGAAGAGTCTATGCTTTTGATTTGTAGTGTTGGTGAAGAATACTGAAAGTGCCACTGCCAGAAGAATGAGCACATCTGCCTGGAAGAAGTGTAGCCGGACTGCTCCTTAGAAGCGAGAATGGCCAGATTTCATCTTACCTACCTTGGTCATGTTGTCAGAAGGGACCATCCCCTGAAGAAAGATATCATGCTTGGTAAAGTGGAGGGTCAGCAAAAAAGGGGAAGACCCTCAATGAGATGAATTGACATAGTGGCTGCAATGATGGGCTCAAATATAGCAGAGATTGTGATGTTGGCACAGGACCAGGCAGTATTTCGTTTTGTTGTACATAGGGTCGCTATGAGTCGGAGAGGAGCTCTGGTAATGTAGTGTCTTAAGGCACTTGACTGCTAACCAGAAGGCTAGCAGTTCAAACCCATCAGCCACTCCTCAGAAGGAAGGTTTACCACCTCGAAAGCCCAAAGAGGGGTCAGTATGAGTTGGGTCCAACTCGATGGCACATAACAACAACATGAGTTGGAGCCAACTCGACCGCACCAAACAACAACATTTCTCTCTTCAATTCTCTCTCAGTGTTTGCATTATTTATTTAGGTCCTCTGATGTTGGGTGCATATAATTTATCATTAAGTCTTCTTGATTATTTGACACTTTTGTCACTATCTTTCTCTCTTCTGACAGATTGTGTCTTAAAATCTTCTTTGTCTGATATTAAGATTGCCCCGCCAGCTCTTTTGGTTATTATTTACATGGAATATTTTTTTTCCCCATTCTCTCACTTTCAAACTATTTGTGTCCTTGGGTTTACAATGTGTCCCATAAACAGCATATAGTTGGAGTATTTTTTTTTTTTCAAGCCATTCTACCACTCTGCTTTTGATTGGAGCATTTTGTCCATTTCCATTCACAGCAATTACTGGTAAGAAGTGACTTACTTCTGCCATTTTAAAATTTGTTTTCTGTGTGTGTGATGCCTTCATTGTCTTTGTCCTTTGTCTCTTGCTTTTGTATTTTGTTAGTTTATTGTACTGGGCCTTTCTGATTCCCTCCTCCTTTCCTTTTGTGTATATTTTTTATATATATTCTGAGTGGTTACCATGAATATTACATTTAACAGCTTGCAGTTATAACATTGTAGGATAAGTTGGTACCAACTTCAGTGACATACAAGACATTCTTTATACCATTCCTCCCCACTTTTTATTGTTGTTATCACTAATTACATCATTATATTTCCTGTGCCCTGTACAATAATTTTATCTTTGCCATTTATATATTATTAAAAACATGAAGGACAAAACATTTAGAATTATCAAGCATGAATACTTTATTACTAGCCCTTATACTTGTTCATGCATTTACCTTTATTAGGAAATTCTCATTTTATGTATAGCTTTGGATTTCTTTCTAGTGTCTTGTCTATTCCATCTATAGAACACCCACTAATATTTTTTGTAGGGCCAGTCTGGTGGATATGAACTCTCTCAGCTTCTGTTCAGACAAACATTTCTGTTTGTCTAGGAATGTTTTAATTTCACCCTTATTGTTGAAGAATAGTTGTGCTTGGTGTACTATTCTTGAGGGTCCCCCCACCCCTTTAGAACTTTAAATATACCATTGTCATTGTCTTCTGGCCTCCAATGTTTCTGGAAATATCAGCACTTAATCTTATTGGGGATCCTTTATATGTGACTATTTGCTTCTCTCTCACTGCTTTCGGGATTCCCTCTTTAACTTTTGAGAGCCTACCTATGATGTGCCTTGATGTAGGCTTCAGGTTCTTTGAGCTTCTTGGATCTGTAGATTCATGCCCTTTGTTAGATTGGTGAATTTTTTGTCATTGTATCGTATCTTCAAATAATCTGTGTCCCTTTCTCTGTCATGTCCTCCTGGAATTCCCATGATGTGTTTATTAGGTCTCTTGTTGTTGTCCCATAATTCCCTTAAACTGTGCTCAGTCAGCCTTCTTGAGCCTCCAGTCTTATTGCTCTTTAAACCCATTACCATCAATTTGATCCTGACATTGGGTTTCCAAGGTGGTAAATCTTTACAAAAGTAGATTGACCCATCTTCTTTCCACAGAGCAGCTGGTGGGCTTGAACCATTAGCCTTATAGTTAGCAGTCAAATGCCTTAGGCACTGTACCACCAGAGCTCTTTGTTGTTGTTGTTGTTGTTTGCCATCGAGTCAGCCCCGACTCATAGCGACCCCTCCTTGGGTTTCCGAGGCAGTATCACTACGGAAGTAGGATTGCCCAACCTTCCTTCCAAGGAGTGGCTGGTGGGTTTGAACCGCCGGCCTTCTGGTTAGCAGTCAAGTGCCTTAGGCACTACACCACCAGAGCTCCTAAAGTAGATTGCCCCATCTTCCTTCCGAGGAGTGGCTTGAACCACCAGCCTTCTGGTTAGTAGTCAAGTGCCTTAGGCACTATGCTACCAGAGCTCCCCTCAGAGCTCTTTAGCATTTATAATTTTTAACTCTTATCCTCTAAATCACTGACTTTTTTATTCTGCCTGATTAAATCTGTTGGTAAGTCCTTCTATTGTGTTTCTTATTTCAGTTATTGTCCCTTCCAGTTACTATATCTCTTTTTTTAGATCCTCATTTTGTTCTTGTATTTTTTCTATTTTGTTCTTGTATTTTTTAGCTCTTCATGTTTTTCCTTAGTTTTTTAATTATGTTTAATGTTGTATTATATTCTTCTATTTTTTCCATTGTTTCATCATCTCTAGATGCACTTTCACTCCCTTTCTCATGTTCATTTGCATGGGGCCATTGTTTCTCTGTTCTTTATGTGCCTTGTGATTTTTTGTTTTTTTTTTGGTTGGGACATTGGAATTTTCAAGGGTATTAACTTTCTCAGTTTTCCCCAATATTTGATGTTTTTGCCTGCACTGCTTTCTGCAAGAAACTCTTAGCTGGGCAGAGCCTTTGGCCTTTTCTTATCATCTCCTTTTCCCCTCTGCGATAGCTCCTTCTCCTTCCCTGGTTTAATTGGGATTTGAAAGTTCCAGGTCTCATTTTTAAACTTTTAATCTCTCCCAAACACAGAAGAGAACATGCTATGGTCAGTCTGTCCACCAGTGGGCATCACCAACCGGGCAAGATACCATGTACTAATCAGTCTGTTCACTAGAGGGTGAAGTCTCCTCTCTCTAGTTATTACTCCCTACTCTCTTTTTGCAATCATAGTTATAGTCAGATAACCCATACCCAGCAAGGCCTCTTCAAGGCTGGGTCTCACCCTCCAGTTTTGCCCGAGGTTTCCTTCCCTGTTGTGTGGGGGCTGCTTATACGTGAGCTGTCATTCAGGAGGAGCACAAGCAGACTTTCCTCTGTTTCAGGAGGAAGGGCTGGTACTCCCCAGAAGGACCTCCAAGAGGTCTTGTTGGTTTAATAGCCCCAGTGTCCCTTTTGTGGTTGGAGAAGCAGTCTCCACTTAGATGAACTGCCTCCTGATTCCACTGAAGGGAACCTTCTATAGGAGTTTGTATCAGTCCAGCAGCCAACAGTTAACCATTGAGGGAGGAGTAGTCACCCTCTGAATGGACGCATAGGGAGGTCTGCCTTGTTGCTATTAGATCCTGCCCGGTAGTATGTTGGCTGTGGGTGTAGCACTCCAATCAAGATGCCTGCTTCCAAGCATATAGCAGCCTCAATCAACAGTCCTTAATGCTGACTGTAAGGAGGAGCAGACACACCCAAACTGATCCCCAGGGTGCTCTGTCTTCTTGGTTTCAGAGGCCTGAGCAATGGGGTGCACAGGGAGGCAGATAGAGTGTTAACTATAGGAACAGACTCTACTGCTCAGGCCTTCTGTAGCACTTTGCAACAGCAGCCTGGCAACAAACCATTACCGGCTGGGGGGAGGGGTGTCATGTTCTAGTCAGTTTCCCATGGAAGTCTGCCTTGTTGCTATCAGAGTTTCCTCCCATCCCCTGTAGATTGTTGGCTGTGAGTGCAGCCTCCATGCAAGACTCCTGTTTCCCAACACACTTCAACTTCTGTCAGCAGTCACCACACCAAGTGAAGATGGAGGCAGACTAACCCTAATTGACCTCCAGGGAGGTTGGTCCTGTTGGTTTAAGAGGCCAGACCTACGGGGTACTCAGGGAGGCTGGTAGAGTGTCTACTGTGAGAGCAGGCTCCACTGCATGGGCCTTCTGCAGCAATTCACAGTAGACTTGCAACCAACAGTGGGGAGGGGTGCAGGTCTGCCTTGTTGATTTAGGGCACAAGTTTGGGGTCCTATCTCTTTGTACAGGCAAGGGCTGTGGTGATTAGGGAAACAGGCTCTTTTTCTGGGGCCAGCACCCCATTTCACAGCAGCCAGCAGCCTGCATGGCTGGGGGAGGGGCAGAGAAGATGGGAAAAGTGATGTTCCTATGGTTTGTGACTTCACTTGTCACATGGTGATTGTTGGTTCTTGCCTGTCTGCAGTTTCCCATTGCTTTCTTCTGCTCCCTAATTCAGAGGCCCTCCAAACCAAGCACCATTTCTTTGTTGTATTTCTTGTATTTGTCATGGAGAGTCCCAATGACGGTTTGTTTATACCACCATCTTCTCAGGTTTCCCCTGTAATCCAACTTCTTATTGCCAGGGCAGGAGATGGACTAAATACACTTCTGTGACTGCAGAATAAATGAACTTTTATATGGTTTTCTTGTCTTCATTTATATGGATGTCATGTCATTTCAGAGCCACAGCATTTTACGACAACTGTGACTCGATCCAGCCCAACTGTGGCCTTTGTGGAGTTTTCCTCCAGCCCCCAGCTAAAAAACAACGTGCCAGAAGAAAAAGATCAGAAGAAACTGGAAGATGAGATGAGTGGAAAGGTGGAGTTGGTGCTGTCACAAAAGGTACAGTATCAGTGGACACAAGTGGTTAAAATTCAAAAGTTAATAAGGTTTAACGTTGGAGCTGGTTGGTGCTGTGGCAATTTTTAATAACGAAGATTTATTTTGCCCCCTAATTATTTTTTGTCTTCAAATCTGTATTTTTTCTAGCTACATACGTACTACATGTGCATTGTAAGAAATGTAATATATATATAGAGAGAGAGAGAGAGAGAGACAGACATAGAAAGTGATATATATGTATATAAATATGTAGCATAAACATACCAAGTAATATATGTAAATATATATAAAATAAAATGCAAATACAATTACCAGGTGGGGGAGGGGTGTCATGCTCTGGTCAGATTCCCATGTGTGTATGTAAGTGTATGTAAGTGTACATGTATGTATACACATAGAAAGATTGTATGTGTGTGTAAAGTGTTACTGATATCTACCCGTCTGTTATTGGCAGTTGTTATATATTCTTTAAACATCTTGAAAAAATTTGATACAGAGCAAAGAAAAATGTAACATGAACTATAAAGCTTTGCACTTAAGTTTTAGTTGGCTGTGTGTGAGCTTGCTTATTTGCTTTTTAACATGTAAGCTTACTTAATATTCCCTTTCCAACATTTACCTTGTTTTATAGCAATGGTACTACTTCTTCTTTTTTTTTTTTTTTGCAATTTGTTCAACAGAGTTTTTGTTTTAATACAAACATTAAGCATAAAACAAGGTAAGTTTTATCTAATTCTATGAATTCATTAAACAATATTATGGAAAGTTTATTATATTCTTGGGGAGTCTTTTCAGATATTTTTATACCTCATATATGAGGTCTTTTCTGTATTTTATTTTATATACTGGCATATGACCACCAGCCTTGAAACTATGCATGTACTCACTACTGTTGAGTCGGTTCCAACTCATAACAACCCCTCCTTGGACTTCTGAGGCAGTATTTCTAAGGAAGGAGATTGCCCCATCTCTCTTCTGAGGAGTGGCTGGTGGATGTGAACCACTAGCCTTCTGGATAGCAGTCAAATGTCTTAAGCACTATGCCACCTGAGCTCCTAAAACTATGAAGAGGAAGGAAAAAATCATTATTACCTTAAAAAAAGAAACTATTTGATTTTATAAAATAAAAATTATGACTACATTATGACTTCTTTTATATGTGAGAAGTAAAGGTGAAAGGATGGCAAATTCCACAGGTTTCAACATAGTGTAACATTTCAAATAGTAAGGAATGAGAATCCATATCTATTTATCTGTCCTACTTGAACGTTTTAGAATGCTGAACAGTGTAGAGCAGTGGTTCTCAAACTCTAATGAACATCAGAATTACCCAGAGGTCTTGCTAAAATACAGCCTGTTGCTCCATCCCCAGAGTTCAACAATGGCACTCCTGATGCCTTTTAATTTGAATAACAAGGAATCTAGAAAAGTATTGTTCTGCTGTAATCGATTTTAAAGTCTCATTTATATAAATTTCTTCCTTGTTCAGAGTCTTGTCCACATTAGTTTCTAGGTACAGCGTCTAAAACTCTTCATCCTTTAGAATAGCTGTTCTCAACGTTGACTACTCTTTAAATTTTTTTTAAAAATACTGAGCTCAATCTAAACCAAAGAGATAAGAATCTCTGGCAGCAACAGACATGTCTTTTTAAAGTTCCCCAGTGATTCTAATAGACCACCAAGGTAAAAAACCACTGACTTACATAATTGACATACAATATATGGTCAGACTCTACCTTTAAAAATTAACCCTAATTGGGATCTGACTTTACAGTGAAAATTTTGCCACTTCTTTCTCCAGTTCATTCGTTCCTTTACTCTACCAGTAATGATCGTGTACTTACTCTGTGCCAGGCATTGTGCTAGGCATTGGGTAGTCAACAGTGAACAAGAGGCTGCCCTCAGTTTAAGGAGCTGAGAGTGTACTGTGTCCTTAGCAAAGCCTCAAAGGTGCCTATTGCATTGATGCCTTTGAAGTGTTTTGGATGCAGACTATTCCCCATTTTTATGCACAGCGAATTACAGAATGTTCTAGAAGTCCAAAAAAAGGAACTAAATGGTAAACTAAGCATTGAGGGCAGTCAGGGTTTCCCACCTTTGCGGGTTTTGCTTTATCCACATTTCACTTATAATTATTATTTATTTTTCTTCCAAACTCACTTTTTTTTTTTTTTTTTTACTTAAACTGGAGGGGAAATTTATATCATTGCTAGAATTTAAAAAAAAAAAAAACAAACAAAAAGAAAACTACAACTGAAAACTATTCATCTGCATAACTCATCTGGGTGATCTCATCTGTGTGATCCATCTTTGAGCCACATGTATACTCCATTGGGAAGAACTGCTTTCAGAGTTTTCTGTTTTGCCTTGGAGCCCTTTGGCCACCTGATAACTCTTATCTCTGAATGTTTTTAAATGCATAACATAAAATACACTGAATTACCAAGTTATCCTTAGTATCATGTAGTACCAGGTTCATAGACACCCCCCCCCCCAATACTTTTCCATGAACCTCAGGCTAAGAATCCCTGCTGGTTAATTAGCAAGTCAAATAATGATCTTTGAACCCAATCTTTTCCTCACTTAGACCAAGTGATTTTCTCCAGTTTCTTACTTTCCTACTGTATGATTAGCTCTTTCTTTCAAGGGAGAAAGGTGATCACAATAGTTACAGTGGCTTTTATTTTCTGGTTTCACTTGAGAATACAACTCCTCACTTATTGACTGTATGATTATCTGACATCTCACATTACAATAGTAAAAAAATTACTATCTGGCTATTTTGTACATTACTGACCTATATCTGGCAGTAAAAAACACCAAGGTGCAAGGCAAGAGTAACACTGGCTGTGATGGTTAAGGTTGTATGTCAACTTGACTGGGCCATGATTCTCAGATTTGGCAGTTATGTAATGATGAAATTTGGCAGTTATGTAATGATTTAGTCACCCTCCATTTTGTGATCTGATATCATCATCCTCCATTTTTACATAACACCAATTTTTGCATAATGATTTCATCTTTGGAACCTAATCATGTCAATAAGTGAAGAGTATTTTACTTTTGCAAAAGAAGACAACCATGTACACAGGCTGATCTTTTTACAGAAGTCATTTTGAGCATTTTTGTTGACCATTAACTATTTTTTTTACAAGACAGATCTAAAATGTGCTTTTATCAGTCTGCACATTAACAAGGTCTGGTGGTGTAGTGGTTGAGGCATTTGGCTGCTAACCAAAAGGTAGTGGTTTGAACTCACTGGCTACTCTGTGGAAGAAAGATGAGGCAGTCTGTTTCCGTAAAGATTTACAGCCTTGAAAACCAATAGGGATCGCTGTGCATTGAAATTGACTTGATGGCAGTGAGTTTTCTTTTTCAGTATAAGGAGATGGTGTAAGGTAAGATTTGAGAGTCATCAGCTTCGGTAATTCTAGGCCTTAGCTTTTGCTATTTCCTCATTTGGACATCTGGTTGACATCTGTAATGCAAGATGAGGGGACTAACTGCATTTTCTTCAGGGTTCCCTTAGGATTGATTCATAAAGAAAAACAAAATTCTACAAGAAGAAATTCTAGTCATTAAATGATCCTGAGGACCAAAGTATAGATCAGTTTGTGATGAAATAAGTGCTCTGCAGCTTCACTCATCCTCAGGTCCCTTGACCATCAAATTAATCTATCAGAAACACAGCCGCTAGCCCGAGGGTGAATTAGACAGTCCTGTGAGCACCTGAAAGGACGTGAACTGATACAGTCCATGCTCTTCATTCAGACCTTGCAGAGTCTATTGACTCATTTTGACACTATTTTAACAAGTTTAGTAATCTGCTCTTTTAGTAGTCACTTGATTTGAAGGAACAAATCAGAAAGAAGATGCTTCTACTAAAGGTCATTCAGAATGGGAAGAAACAAAATTAACAGTTAGAACAAAATCTAATTTTTAAAGTAAACATAAGGATCTTAAGAGCATGTCACTTTGGAACTGTTTACCGTAAGGACAAGTGGTTGAACAAATCTCAAAGTTCTGCTGAAGGCATCATTGTTGTGGCACTGTTTGATAATTGTTTGATAATCGTTATTTAGAATAATTTTTCTATGTCAACATGCTGAATATATTGCCTTTAGTATGCTTTATATAATTTTGTGTGTGTTTAACATCTTGAGAATAATGTCCATTGAAAAGTAATACCACTTTCATCGTTATCACTCACAGAGGAAGATATAATTTTTCCCTGATTTTGTAAAGTCTCCTGATATTACAGATTCACTAATTTGTAGTACCAGAAAGAGACTATGTGATTGGCCAAAGGAAAGTGACAGAGGATGATATACAATTCCAAAATGGAATACTGTCTTCTAATCACCAATTTTTATGCAATAGTTTGATTTCTTGAAAAATTGACTGCTATATTAATGTAGAAAAACATGAAGGATGTTTGGGAAAAGGCAAAAAATTTCCATTTAAAAGTTGAACGCTGTTGCCTTCTGTAATAGTCAAAACCCTTTCATTTTATTTCACCTGTGTCTTAATTAATGGACAGTCTTCCAATTTCAGTATCTATTGCTCCACATTCCAGGTAGTAAAGCCAAAATCTCCAGAACCAGAAGCAACCCTGATGTTTCCATTTCTGGACAAAATGCCTGAAACCAACCAACTACATTTGCCAAATCTTGATTCTCAAGGTAAAAAGAAGGAAATATTTTATTTTAGTTCTACATTTTTTGTCTGAGCCCAATAGTAAAATATTCTTTATTTTAAGGGCAGAACAGTTCCTTTGTGTTGACCTTCCTTTAACTCTGGTGTTTGCCAAGGTCCACGATGGCTGAATCGACAACTTCAGAACGGAAAGCTGGCCTTGTGTGCTCTCTTTGGCCTAGCCAGGGGCCCCAGCTGCCAAGACCATTTTGTCAGGCAGGCACAGTATGCCATTACACAAGGTTTGAGACCTTGAAATATTTTCATTGGTCCCAAAATATTAAAAGATAATTATAAAATCAAAATTAATAACTTTAATAAGGAATGTGTCATCTTAATATTAGGAGCTCTGGTAGCATAGTGCCTAAGTCACTTGACTGCTTACCAGAAGGCCGGCGGTTCCAACCCATCAGCCACTCCTTGGAAGGAAGGTTGGGCAATCCTACTTCTGTAGTGATACCACCTCGGAAACCCAAGGAGGGGTCGCTATGATTTGGGGCCAACTCGATTGCACATAACAACAACAACAATCTTAATATTATGTCATTAATTGTTCATTTTAGTCTTCATAAAATTTCCATTTAATTTGAAAATAAAATCAAATTTTCTTACTCCATAATAATTCCTGAGTGTATGTGACAATTAATCATAGACTATCACAGATTAACCCTTTCACTCAGGACCAAAATTTTAATCATCACAGAAAGGAATAAGAAAATGTGTGTATGTGTGCACCGAGGATGCATTTTAATATGTTTCATATATTTTAATATTCATATTTTTCATGTATTTTAACATGTTGATAAATTTTAATATGTTTGATATAATATGGGGAGGGGTGTAGGGCATCCATAAGGGTTTGATATATGAGAGAACCCTAAAATACAGAAGTTCAGGGTGTATGAAAGTTTTAAAATGGTACATCCTCCAAAACACCCCAACTATTATTGGGACATATGTATATTGTGACTTCATCCCTTTACTCTTTAAGAGCTCAACTTAAATCCCTTTCTCTTAGTGGGAAACCCACATGTCTACAATCACCACAGAGGACCCCTAAGGTTACAGACAGTGAGGGTAGGTCTTATGAATTCCATGGTCTAATGGAGGCTGTGGTTCAAAACAGATAGATGTATTGTCTTTACTGGTTGAGTTGTTTTTCTAGATGCAGAAATATCTATAGTTCAGGACGCAAGAACTGTAAGGTGATGTTTGTTTTTATTTTTTTTAAGTCTTTCCCCCAGTATATTTTATAGATTTGATTTATCAGTTCAGGCAAAAAGAGAGTGGTATAGATGCACTGTAGCTGCACATTTATTTTCAGATATTTTGTCATAGATAGGTACCTATTTGGGGCCACTATTGACAGAATCTAGGTTGGTTTCCATAACCAACAGTTGAGAGATAAGCTAGGCTCTATATGACAGGAAGAACTTGGGAGGGAATTATCTGGTGTATCTGGTGGTCACTAGTTTCTTAATATGGAATCGAGTTCAATTGTGTCTTCAACACATTTGTTACAGATTGCTCAGTTCCAATGTTCTGAAGGGAATTGATGAAAATAAAGTCTCACAACTGGGACAGCAATTGGCTATTTTGAGACAGATTTTAATTCTGCCCTATTTCCAACACTTTGCAAACATGTAGATAAGTACTATGGAGAAGGAAGAGATATTTTAGGAGTTACAAATGTTTAGTGCACTCAGCTACTAACTGAAAGATTGGAGGTTCAAGCCCAAAGGCACCTCAAAAGAAAGGCCTGGCAACCTACTTCCAAGAAATCAGCCATTGAAAACCCTCTGGAGCCTAGTTCTACTCCAACACACAGGGTCAACGTGAGTCGGAGTCAACTGGATGGCAGTTGGTTATATAGCTGTTTTAAGCCATGCTAGATAGTTTCATTGTCTTACATTCCTCAACAGCAGGGCATTGCCAGCTCAGTGGTAGAATTCTCACTTTCCCTGTGGAAGACCAGGTTTGCTTCCCTGCCGGTCCACTCGTCCCTCAGTGGAGGCTTGTATGTTGCTGATACCGAACAGGTTTAGCAGAGCTTCCAGGCTAAAACAGATTAGGAAGAAAAGCCTGGTGATCGTTCCCCAAAAAATCAGCCAGTGAAAACCATATGGATCAAAATAATCCAATTCTCAGCCAATCATGGGAATGGTGCCAGCATTTCACTCCATCATGCATGGAGTTGCCATGAGCTGGGGCCAACTGAGCAGTAGCCAACGAAAACAACATATAGTTATCTATCCCATTACCTGTTGTGAGGCATTTTGATTTTGATTTTTTAAAAAATATGTCATTGAACTAAGGGACTTTTATTTTATGCTTTATCCAAATTGAATAATGAAAAAAATCAAAGTTAAGAGCACTGGAACATATCAGAAATTATTCTTCAAGATAGAAATTTATTTGGACTCTGTTTTATATTCTTGTCTGGTTTGTGGAAGTTGTAATTATGGCTGCAGAATGTGGGGACAGAATGCTTGTATTCACATTATTGCTTTTCTAGTTTTACCTGTGTCACATTTGACATGAACTTTGGCCCTAATCTCTAATCCTCACATGTAAGATAAAAATAAAAATAGTAACAACCTCACTGAAAGTATTTAATGACATAAACCTCAAAATCTATTTTTAAAAAAGAAGCATTTAACTCAATGTCAGTCTCAGAATTGGTTGTGGTGGGGATAGGTGGCATCGAGTTGCCTTCAATTCATAACGACCCTATGTATTAACAAAATGAAACCTTATCCATTCTGCACTGGCCTCACAATCATTGCTTTGCTTGAATGCATTGTTGCAGCCATTGAATCAACCCATCTCATTGAGGGCCTTCCTCTGACCCTCTACATTACCAAGCATGATGTCCTTCTCCAGGGACTGATCCCTCCTGATAATGTGTCCAAAGTATGAGATAAAGTCTCACCATCCTCGTTGCTAAGGAGCATTCTGGCTGTCTTCCTCCAAGATAGATGTGTTCACTCTTCTGGCAGTCCATGGTATACTCAATATTCCTCACCAACACCACAGCTCAAATGTGTCGATTCTCCTTTGGCCTTCTGGTGTCTCAGAATAAGCACTCATAAATCTAGTAGTTTCAGAATAAGAAACCCTGGTGGCACAACAGTTATACACTCAGCTGCTAACCAAAAATTTGGCCATTTGAATCCACCCAGAAGAGCTCTGGTGGCATAGTGCCTAAGGCACTTGACTGCTAACCAGAAGGCTGCCGGTTCAAACCCACCAGCCACTCCTCAGAAGGAAGGTTGGGCAATCTACTTCCATAGGGATACTGCCTCGGAAGCCCAAGGAGGGGTCACTATGAGTCAGGTCTGACTCGACGGCACATAACAACAGCAGCAGCAGCAGCACCCCAGAAGAAAAACCTGGTGATCTCTTTCCATAAAGATTAAACAAAACCCAGTGCCATTTAGTCGATTCCAACTCATAGCAACCCTATAGGACAGAGTAGAACTGCGTCATAAGGTTTTCAAGGCTGTAATTTTTACAGAAGCAGACTGCCATAGCGTGTCCTGGCAGAGCAGCTGGGGGGTTCAAACTGCCAACCTTCAGTTAGCAGCTGAGAGCTTAACTACTGCACCACCAGAACTCCTTTTCATAAGGACTGCAGCCTAGAAAACCCTATGAGGAAGGTGTACTCTGTCCCATGCGGTCACGGTGAGTCAGAATTGAGTAGACAACTCCAACAACGATCAGTTTCACAATAGTAATAGAGTAAGAGTAGAAGTCTCAGAGGGAAGACTGGGCAATCTGCTTCTGGAGAGATACCACCTGGGAAACCCAAGGAGGGGTCACCATGACTTGGAATCGACTCGACGGCAGTGAGTTTGTTCTGTTTTGTGTTTGAAGAGTAGAAGTACATTACAAGATATAGAAAGATGTCAGACAGAAACAAATTATTCTTATTATGCTTTGCTCATAAACAAGTGTTTATGCTTGTGGAGACACTGGTGTGAGTGTCTCCATATGTATCAGCTGTTTAAAGCAGCGATCCTCAAATCCACAGTATGCACCAGGGTGCCCCATGGAGCCTGTTAAAGCACCTATCCGTGGGTCCCACCCACAGAGTCAGACTCAGTAGTAGGCCAGGATGGGGTGGAGCCCAAGTATTTGCGTTTCTAACACATTCCCAGGGGCTGTGGATCCTGCAGATCAGAAACCACTCTCAAAAAACTACTGACTTGAATTGTGCACCAAAGACATTGCTGATAGATATGAAAATAACAGTAGTATTTGCTTGGAGTTGATAAATTACTATCTTTCAAGAAGTAAAAAGCCTCTATTAAATGAAACCTTAAAAGATATGATTTATCTTTAATTGGAAAAAAATAAAATGTAAAAAGTTAATGCATGTTTAAGTGACTAGTCTGAGGTTGCATATAAAGTTCAAAGAAACTGTAGGTTAAAATCAGAAATCCTGAAACTACATTTTATACTTTCTTCCACAGAAAGTGGTATCTCTCCCAACTCTTAAGTCATGTGTTCATAGACTGACCAAATAGGCCGTTGGTCTGCTAGTTAACCCTAATGATGTTCTACCAGGTTCCCTTAATCTCATACACGTATACAGAGAGACATTCATAAATAAAATATTTAAATACTCTGAAAATATTCATAAAATGCATTAAATACATTTAAGGATGACAGATTTCCTTTTCTCAACTATCTCCCAATAGTAGAAAGATAGCTCAATTGGTGTGTCAATAAAATCTGTGCACACTTTAGCAACTGGTGTCTTTATTTGCATCAAGGATGGCAGAAGATCATGGCATCTAGTTTAAGGATGTAAATGTTTGTCGTGAGCTTCTATGACTGATGTCACCTCATTATAAATGGATGTATACGCATCTTTTTTTCTTTTTTAAGGTAACTTCTGCCACAGACTTTCCTGTATGGCCTTTATAAAGTGTAATGCTTATAAACTAATAATTGAACTATCCATCCGTGCTGTCTTTCACACTTTTCTGGAGTTTTCCAAAAGTAACATAAAAAACTGTGCGTTTTGCTCTTATGCAGCTTATCATTCTATCATTTTGAGATTTAGCATTTTAACAATATTTAACAATATCAGCATTAAGTGTGAGCCTATAAAATTTCACTTAACACCAAAGAAGATTCACAATACCACACTGTCACAGTTCTATTGATATATGCCCATGTCTGCATATATCTCTGGTTTTCGTGTGCATTTTATCAAGACATTTGGACTTTAGATTCTCTCACTCTCAGTTCTTATATCGGATGCAACCTAACCCTCAGTAGTGAGGAGCATAGTTCTGGTCAGCCCTCATCCTCGTTTTCACGGTTTTCTGTTTGTTCTGTTCTACCCTCTGATCTAGAGCCTCCTAGCACTGCCAGTGTACCGCTTAGAGTTCAGAACTCTTGGCGACGTTCCCAGTTTTTCTCCCAGTCAGGTAAACCACATACTGGGTAGCTGTATTTCTCTTATGAAAAAAAAAAAATCCACGTTGGGGGCAACCAATGATGTCTGGTATTTGTCTCCATTTCTGCTTTCAGAGAAAAATGCTTGTTTCTTACACACAGTTGGCAAAGAGCTCATTCTTAAATATATCGGTACCAATTATACTGAAATTGGAAGTGCGAAAGAAATTCAGAGAATTTTATTTGAGATTGCAAAGAAACAATATTATTATCTTTTTTATGTCTGCTACTTCTTCTTCTATTTTTTTTTTTTTTAAAAAAAAACAAAGATCAAAAGCATTTGCCAGGGGCTATAGGGTTACATAGGAGCCTTGGTGGTGCAGTGGTTAAGCGCTTGTCTGCTAACCAAAAGGCCAGAAGTTCAAACCCACCAGCTGCTCCATGGGAGAAAGATCTGGCAGTCTGCTTCCATAAAGATTTTAGCCTTGGAAACTCTATGGGGCAGTTCTACTCTGTCCTGTAAGGTCTCTATGAGTTAGAATTAAACTGATGGCAGTGGGTTTGGATTTTTTTTGGTTTTGATAGAGTTGCTATGAGTCAGAATCAACTCAGTGGCAATGTATTTGATTTTGGGTTTTGGTAATGGTCTCTTGTTAACTGTGTCACTCTCTGAACTTTCTCTGTATGATACTTCTCCATGGCAGATGGTGAGGAAACTGGTAAACCAAGCCAGAATGCAAGCTGCCTTAAAAACGGCACTCATAGGAATAGTTTTTGCTTCCTACTGCTTCCTACCAGTCTAGAACCTGGTGCTAATTGGTGTGATCAGTCCCATTACACCAGTCACAACTTCTTTTGGTGGTGGATACAATCTGCTTCAGGGGTCTGCTGTATGATGATTGCCTAATGCTCTTGGCTTATGAAAAAAAAAATTAGTTTGAAACTGATATAAGAAACATAGTCCACTAAGAGAACTGAAAAGAAAGACAATTAGAAGCTACTCATATTGTGATCTTTATTTTCTTCCTTTGCTTCTTCCTGTACAGTGGGTTCTCCAAGCAGTGAAAAGTCACCTGTAACTACACCTGTAAGTAACTTTATGAAATAAGATCATGAGTTTAGTGTGATTTTCATTTTCAAAGTTTTTTTTTATTTGCTTCAAGAGGATTCAGCCAAAAAATGGGCTCCAAACAGTTGATTTTAAAAGAATTGTTAAAAGCTGTGTAGAATATGGGCAGGAGAATAATGAAGATGTGGATCATCACTATATGGAGCTATTGTTGTGCCTGAGAACTAATTGATAAGTGAGTCAGTAAAGTAAAATCTGAAGGGAACAGTTAAAATTGAATGTGAGCATAGGAGTTTATATATTAAAATAGAGAACCATGGTAGGCATTCAAAAAACATTTTTCATCTGTTTTTTTTTTTTTTTATTGTGATTTGGGTGAAAGTTTACAGAGCAAGTTCACTTTCTATACAGCAGCTCACATACACTTTGTCTCAAGACATTGACCAAAATTTACAATGCAGCAGCTCCCCTCCCACTTCCTCCCCATAGTTACCTCTTCCCTGTGTCCATCCCTCCATGCACTCCTGCCCCCTGAGCTGTCTCCCTGCACATAGACAACCTTTCTTTCTCCCATGATTGTTCTCTCCAAGAAGTGTGTCTACCTAGTGTAAATGTTCATCTCATATGTCTCTCTTTTGTTTGGCTGGAAGCCATAGATGTGGGTTCAGTTCCAGACCTGAAGGGCAGGTAGGGACCATAATCTCAGTGGTTCCAACAGGTTCTATCAGACCAGAAAAGCTGTCCCCCCCCCTTTTTTTTCCCAAATGATTTTGAGTTTTGTTCCACATTGTTCTCCCTCTCTATCCAGGATCTCCATAGATCCCCCTCTGAGTGGTTGACAGTGGTAGCCAGGCACCATATAGTTCTTCTGGTCTCATAGTCATATAGGCTGAGGATCGCATAGTGTACTTGGACTAATTGGTCCCATGAATCTTTGGTTTTCTTCATTCTTCTTTGCTCTGGATGAGGAGAGACCCATCTGCATCTAGATGGCTGCTTGCAAGCTTTTAAGATCCCAATCGCTACTAGCCAAAGTAAGAGGTAGAACAATGTCTTGTGTAGTATGTTATACCAATTGAGCTTGATGTCCCCTGCAACCATGGTCCTGAGTCCACAGATCCAACTACTCACTCCCTCTGGGTAGCTGGCTGTGCCCAAGAAGTGACTACCACCTTGCGCCTTGTCAGCTCTACTATACACCTGGGAATTCTTACAGAACATACAAATACACTTGTAGAACCATTGTCCCCCAACCCTATACCTGGTCTTGGGAACACTCCCCCCCCCCACGTAGACATACCTAATAGTTCAGCCTGTCAACCCATCTATCCACTGTATACCCATGTTTGCCTTCACTGACAACACAGTATCATATGTGCAAAAGGGTTCATCTTTGTTGTCTGTACCTCCCATGTACCTCTCTCTGTCTTCCTCTTCCTCAATGCCACCATGTTGATCACTCACATTTGGTACATTGCCCTTCTCTTCACCCAAATCAATACTTATCTCTACCTAGCTAAGTGTTCCCTCCCCTCCCCTTCCACCCCTGGTAGCCAATAAAGAAAATTTCCTTCCATACATAAACCCTTCCTTGACTTTTTACAATAACGGACTAATACAATATTTGTCCTTCTGTGATTGACTTATTTCACTCAGCATAATGTCCTCCAACTTCATCCACATTATACAGCATTCAAAAAACATTTTTTAAATGAAGGCAGTCTTCATTTTATGCAGCCTGGACACAATCTGGAAGACCCAAGCTCTCTCTGTTGCATCCTTCCTCACAATCAGTGTCTTTAATAGTATTAACTGTATATTTCATTTTCAACTATTAAGTACAATGAACTAAAAAATTTTGCAAATTAAGGTATCAACACACGTGATGCAATGGGAATTCTTTGCTACTGAATTATATCTGAACACTCTTCTCTCGACTGGGTGTCCCCAGTGCTAGATCTGTCATCTTCATTGACCCTTTGAAATTCCTGTCTGATTTGGAGACTTGTATGGCACAACCAGAGTTTCTGGGTAGTGCAAACAGTTAGTTCACTCTGTTTCTAACTGAAAATTTGAAGATTAAGTCCAACCATGGACCTCTCAGAAGAAAAGCTTGGCAATCCACTTCCCAAAAAAATCAACCATTGAAAACTCTATGGAGCACAATTTTACTCTGAAACACATGGGGCGAACATGAGTCAGAGTCAACTTGATGGCATCTGGTGGTAGTTTGGTACAACCAATGAACTATAGCCTTTCTCTTGAGCCCCTGGGATGCAGCCACATAATGACTGTTCAGCACCGCTGATCCCATATTGATTCAGGTTCCAGATTTACTGTGTGTGGTGTTATATAACATCTCTGAACCTCATCCTCCTTAACTGTACAATAAGATGATAATACCTTTATTTCAGTGTTGTTGTGCATCTTAATCGAAAGAGCTATACAGATGCTCCTGGGGAAGCACCTGACACATAAACTAATGACTCCCCAGTGACTAATCCAATAGTCTCACCCCAGCCAATATCACAGTTACAGCAGTATATTGACAGGGAACTTCCAGAAATTCAAGCTGGATTCAGGAGAGGATGTGGAAAGAGGGATATCACTGCTGATGTCAGATGGATCTTGGCTGAAAGCAAAGAATACCAGAAGGATGTTTACCTGTGTTTTACTGACTATGCAAAGGCATTCATCTCTGTAGATCATAACAAATTATAGATAATACTGTGAAGAGTAGGGATTTTGGAACACTTAATTGTGCTCACGAGGAACTTGTACATAGACCAAGAGGCTATTGTTAGAACAGAACAAGAGGATACTGCATGGTCTAAAATCAGGAAGGGAGTGCATCAGGGTTGTATCCTTTCACTGTACCTATTTCAATCTGTGTGCTGAGCACATAATCCAAGAAGCTGGACTATATGAAGAAGAACACAGCATCAGTATTGGAGGAAGATTTATTAACTACCTGTGATATGCAGATGACATAACCTTGCTTGCTGAAAGTGAAGATTTCTTGAAGCACTTACTGATAAAGATTGAAGATTGACCCTCAGTACAGATTACACCTCAACATAAAGAAAACAAAAATCTTTACAAGTGGAACATCACAATAAATGGAGAAAGTTTGAAGTTGTCAGGGATTTCATTTTACTTGGATCCACAATCAACACCATGGAAGCAACAGTCAAGAAATCAGACATCATATTGCAACAGGCAAATCTGCTACAAAAGACCTTTTTTTAGGTGTTTAGGAGCCAAGATGCAACTGTGAAGACTAAGGTGTGCCTAACCCAAACTATGGTATTTTCAGTCATCCCCTATGCATGTGAAAGCTGGACAATGAATAAGGAAGACCAAAGAGTTGATGCCTTTGAATTGTGGTATTGGCAAAGAATACTGAAAACACCATGGACTGCCAGAAGAACAAACAAATCTAACCTGGAGGAAGTAGAGCCACAATGCTCCTTTAAGGAGCGAGAATGGCCCGACTTCATCCCACCTACTTTGGTCATGCTGCCAGAAGGTACCAATCAGATATCATGCTTGGTAAAGTAGAAGTCAGTGAAAAAAGGAAAGACCCTCAATGAGACGGATGAACATGGCAATGATTGTGAAGATGGCTCAGGATTGGGCAGTGTTTTGTGCTGTTGGACACAGTGTTGCTATGAGTTGGAGCTGACTCAATGGGCACCTAACAATAACAACAGTCAATACCAATTTTGATTTGTAGGTAAATTTCCTTGCTTTGGGAATTTGCAAGGGCTGAATGGAAAAAAGACCCATCACTTGTCATAAAACCCTTAATATCACCAGCCACATTCTAGAACCAGAGGTCCTTTTGTGACAGCTGAGTCCTGAGCCAAAACCAGGAATCCTGAATTTCCTGGGAGGTTGAAACTGGTCACAGTGAATGGGAATCCCCAGAAAGATCCCAAAGCTGGCATGACTGGCACAGACGTCAAGAGTGTAACATAACCCACTGAATTCCATTTTCAGTTGCATTAAGACAACAATGTCACATTGCTTTTGTACCTCTTGGCTGAGGTGGAGAGGAAGGGTCCTCCAAAGAGATAGATCCTCATCTCCGCTTTGTAGAAAATGGAGCAAGAAAATATGAATTACTGACCTAAATAAGTGAATTTTCTGAAAATACTCAGCCAAAATTGATGTCCTTTCTATGATAAATGGCCCTTCATAGTAAAAGAATTTTGAAAATAATAGACGCTTTGAAGAGGAAATAAGTGTTTGGTTATACTAACCTAAATAGACTTGTACCATTCTCCATCAGACTTCTACTGGTCCAAGGCGAGGGGGAAGCGTAAAGGGAGGGAGGGAGGAGATGGATCACCCTGGCTGGAGATAATCCATTCATTAATTTAACAGCCATTTAGTGAGGGCCTAAAAATACAGGGTGGTTGGGATATTTAGGGGGAAAATGGAATCTCACTGCCTTTGAGAAACCACCAAGCCCAAGAAAGATCCAACTCTACAAACAGATAAATTGTAAAACAAAGTGGGGTAAGTGCTCTCCATTCTGACATTTGTTAGCTCCTTTTATAATTTGCTTTGTTGTTGCTGTTGAGAATATACACAGCAGACCATGTGCCACTCAACAATGTAGGACATGAAGAAATTGCTGTACTGGTATAACATCTCTCTTATAATATTTACCACATTGACTGCTGCTGATAATTTATATAGAGATCATCCCTCCACCACCATTTCACTCAATTTTAAGCTCCTCTGGGCTAGGAGCTCTGAAGGCATAGTGTTTAAAGCATTTGGCTACTATCGAAAAGGCTGTCTGTCCATTTAAACCCACTAGCTGCTCTGTGGGAGAAAGATGAGGCAGTCTGCATCTATTAAGATTTACAGCCTTTGAAACCCTATGGGGCAGTTCTGCTCTGCCCTAAAGGTCACAATGAGTCAGAATCAACTCCATGGCAATGGGTTTATTCTTTTCGTTTAGGCTAAGATTATCACTTGGCCAGTTGGTATCCCTACCTAGTGCATAGTAAGTGCTTAGCAAATATTTCCAAAAAGAAGTGAAGTCACTGTTACTATATTGATATTTTCCTTCCTCTTCAAATGCTCCTTGTTTTTCTCTCTTACTTTTTAACAAATATTCTGTATTCTCTGTGTTCCATCCCTTCACCCCACTTTCATCCCTTCATCCCACATTTCCTCTTCCTATCTGCCTACTCCTTAGAATTATTCTTGAGATTGTTGTTGTGTGTGTCGTCGAGTCAATTCTGACTCATAGTGACCCTACAACAGAGCAGAACTTCTCCATAGTGGTTCCTAACCTAAAATCTTTACAGGAGCAGATTGTCAAGTCTTTCCTACCATTAAGCAGCTAGTGGGTTTGAACCACCAACCTCTCAATTAGCAGCCAAGTGCTTACTCAAAAACCAAAGTGCCACTCAAAAACCAAACTAAATTCACTACCATTGAGTTGTTTCTGACTCACAGCAACCTCCATTGGATTTCCAAGGCTGTAAATCTTTATGGAAGTAGACTACCTCATCTTTCTTCCATGGAGTGGCTGGTGGGTTTAAACCACTGAATTTTTGGTTAGCAGCGAAATGTCTTAACCACTCCACCACTAAAGCTCCTTATTATGCCCCTAGGGCTTCTCCTTCTGTTCTTAAGATTACTACCTAGTGAAATCTGAAAACTGAATAACTCCTAATTTTTTCTCATTTCCCTCAAAACTCACTGCCATCGAGTCAGTTCCAACTCATAGCGATGACCCCCTTTGGGTTTCTGAGGTGGTAAATCTTTATGGAAGTAGATTGCCCATTCTTCCTTCTGTGGAGTGGCTGGTGGGTTTGAACCACAACCTTCTGGTTAGCAGTCAAATGCCTTAGGTACTACACCACCAAAACTCCTTCTTACTTCCCTACAACTGGACTTTTCTCCTTGGTTTCCCAATCACACATACTCTTTTCCCTCAAGAGACCAAAAAGGATCATGCCCCTGAGAAAGAGGTTCTAAATAGGTAAACTGCTTCAAAGTCTTAGGAAATGTCCAACACCATTAAATGACAATGGAATTTTCCATCTGGACACCATAGAACTAATTTCAAAAATTGTCCAAAGAAATATGGAAAACATTGGATTATATAAACTTCAATAGTTTCCCTCCCTCTCTCCACCTTCAGAATTTGTCAAAGCCTTTAGTATGCTAATGTGCAATGTGACTCCTAAGAATGACATATAGGTACACAGAAGTGTGCTTTATAACTTACTTGCCCACCTATCTTAAGTGACTACTTTGAGGGCATCATGGCCATCCCAACCATTTGCAGGATCCACAAAAAGAGTACAAATTTTCTGAGTGGGAAAAGTCCAATAGAAGAGAAATAATTAGGAATTATTTAGTTCTGTATTTATTAATATACTAAGGTTATAAATCAAGCAGTGCTTATGGCCTGGCTTGCATTCACACCCAAGGATCCCATTCCACCCAGAGACTCTTTCCTGAGCTAACCCAACTATCATGTGCCTGAGTGATAGTGATCGTTTGAATCTGCTGGGGCAGGGAAGGGCAGAAGGTAGGCCAGGCCCATCTAAACTGGGACAGCAGCTGACTCTGTCCAGCTTCCCAGGCAGCCAGGGTAGGTAGATTCTGCCTGCAATCCTGACCCCCAACCTTCTTCACTCTCCAAAAAAAAAAAAAAAAACCCAAACTCACTGCCATCAAATCAATTTGACACATAGCTACCCCTCCTTGGGTTTCCAAGGTGGTATCTCTTTTGAAGTAGACTGCCCAATCAACCTTCTGAGGAGTGGCTGGTGGGTTTGAACCTCCAGCCTTCTGGTTAGCAGTCAGATGGCTTAGGCACTACGCCACCAGAGCTCCGTCTCCACCCTCCAGCAGTCCCCACATTCTACCTCATTTTTCCAACTCAGAATTCTCAGGTAGTTCTACACCAAAAAGACTAACCAAACCAGCTACCAAGTCAATTCTGACTCACAGTGACTCATGTGTGCAGAGCAAAACTATTAGGTTTTCAAGGCTAGGATCTTTGGGAAGCAGATTGCCAAGGCTTTCCTCTGAAGCATCTTTAGGTGGGTTTGAACTGCCAGATTTTTGGTTACTAGTCGAGTGCTTAATTGTTTGCACAATATTTCTAAGTGACTCCCAAAACTACCCCATCATAACAGAGAAGGGAGAGAGCAGTTTACTAGAGCACCTGCTCTGGGTGATTGGTGCAGCCAACTTCAAACACTGCAGCCCCTGCCTCATTTGCTGGTTTCCTGGGGAGAGGCTGTGATTTCTCCTCTCCCCACATCCACTCAGTCTGTATTCTGGGGCACTTGCATTTTTGTTCATGCAGCCCTCTCCTAGTACTCCCATCTTCTCAGTTACCAAACTCAATGAAAACCTTTACATGAAAGACCCAAGGGAAAAAAGTCTTTGGGTTTGAATAGATGTGTTATGTGGGATCTGAGGAAGAGACCTCCTTGCCTGGGTCTTAGATAGTACTAGTGGGCTTGGGTGAGTTAAATAACCCACTTTAGGGAAAGCTGGTGTAGGAAAGCAATATTAACATAAAAGTTAAGCTTTGTGGCAGTCAGAGAGCCCTCGTGGCACAGTGATTAAGCACTCGATGGCTAACTGAAACATCGACAGTTTGAACCTGCCAGCCACTCCATGGGGGAAAGATAGAGCAGTCTGCTTTCATAAAGTTCACAGCCTTGGAAATCCTGTGAGGCAGTTCTTCTCTGTCATATAGGGATGGCAAATACCATTTCTTACAAAAAGCTGTGTATCTGTACAGTTCTGCTGAAATAATCAGTCCTGTTTGCTTGGTACATGGGACCTAGGATCAAGATGTAGGATGAGCATCTTACACTCAGGTACCTTAATGCATTTAAGAAACCACATCTAAGAGAAATGAAGCAACATGCCAGTAGCTGATTACTCCATGTTGCCATTAACTCCAAAAGGGTTCAGTGATTCTTAGCAGCATCTTGGAAGAAAACCAAAGAGAGACTAAGGTTAAAAAATGGCTTGAGCCAACTAAAGAGGTTCTTCAGATACGTAAAAGCTTATGCTTCAGCGATTCCATCGGTAGTTAGGCCAGGGGCTAATTGTGTTCCTGTGCCCTCATGGCTCCACTCTGATCATGATTCTGTTTTTCTGAGCAGTTTAAATTCTGGGCATGGGACCCGGAAGAGGAACGCAAGCGACAGGAAAAATGGCAACAGGAGCAGGAACGTTTGCTGCAGGTAGAACTGGATTTGCTGTTTATATTGTTTAAATCATGCTCTTTTAATCTCTGTTGCATTATATAGATTGATAGCACAAGAAATGGATGGAATTGGATTCTCCTCAGAAGTTGGTGTGTCAGTTTCATTGTGCAGCCATGTAATGAATGTCGTAGGTCTGATTCCTCTTGCCAGAGTTACACTGATGAACATGAGAAGACATATTCATATTAACACTCAGGACGATCTCCCAGGGCTGGTCCACTCACTCCTCATACCTCAGTCCCCAGTCAAACCCCAGTCCAAGAAGCAGTAGAAATTAATTCTTAACAGGCTATTGATAGCACACATGTGAAATAAAGGTTGGCCTCATCAAGTTCCTTAAGTAGAAATGTCTGTTTCATCTTTGACTAAAAGCTGCTAATTTTCTGATGAAATTCTAGAAAAATTCTGGGGGTAAATGTATCTTCCCCATTCTTGTATCATGCCAATTTTGCCAACTTTGTAGATAAACAGGGCTTCTGAAACAGTGACAATGAGTTGTGTTTTTATAACCTCAGAAAGTAACCTATGCTGAATACTTGGGATGAGCCAGGCACTATGGTTGGTGGTTAACTTGACATATTTTATCTTATTTAATCCTCATACAGAAGGCTGGCAGTTCAAACCCACCAGCCACGCCTCGGAAGAAAGATGGGGCAATCTACTTCCGTAGTGACACTGCCTCGGAAACCCAAGGAGGGGTCGCTATGAGTCGAGTCCAACTCGATGGCACAGTACAACAACAACAACAATCCTCATACAATCCTCAAAATAGGTCTTATCAGCCCCAGTTTGCAACCAAACAACTGAGGCTTACAGAAGTTCATTCATTTCTCAGGATCACACAGATAACGAATGTGGAGCCCATATTCCAACCTGAATCTTGTTGTTATTAACCTGCATCTAGATGGTTAAACTCACACTCTTTCCACTCTCCCAAGAGCACTGATGTTACCAAAAAATATGAAGCAAAAATATGCTGAACTTCTTTCATTGTCATGCCTCTCTGTTGCTCAGTAGAAAGCAATGATTAATGCAAATTTATTTTACTTACATTTTTTGTTGTTGTTCTAATCCTTTCAGCTTAATTTCCAGGGGGCAAGGAGAGGGTGTTTAGATAGTAAGTCAATTATGGTATGAAGCTTTAGTGCTGCTGTAGGAGTCCTGGTGGTACACTGGTTAAGCTCTCAGCTGCTGATCAAAAGGTTGGCATTTTGAACCCACCCAGCAGATTTGTGGGAAAAAGATCTGGATTGAATAAAGCCCCAGAGCTTCTGGAACTTCTTGGCCCATGGGGACACCTCAGAGAAGCCCTGGCCATCTGTTAAACTCTTGAAAATCAGGTTGCATTTCCCAGCTAAATGGTGAAGACCCACGAGTCAGAAGTTCCACAGAAAACTGTAGACAAGACAGTATTCTTGTGGTGTGCTGTTACCCTGTGGAAGGTGACCATGGTTACAGATGCTGGCATTGAGTAACCAAATGGTTACCTTGTGTGGCATCATGGGTTTGGAACCAACGTGTCCACAGGGGAAGAGTCAGTGTGTGTGTGTGTGTGTGTGTGTGTGTTATTGATGTACTGTGTCTTTCAGTCCCTGTATCATCAGGTGACACCAACAGTTAAGCATTCAGCTGCTAACCAAAAGGTTAGAGTTTTTACCCACCCAGCAGCTCTGCAGGAGAAAACTCTGGGGATCTATTCATGAAGATTACAGCCAGGAAAACACCATGGGGCAGTTCTACTCCTCGAAATGGAGTCACTAGGAGTCAGAATCAACTCAATGGCACCCAACAGCAACAGTTCATCTTTTTGGTGAGGCGACATATGACGTAAGTTCCTTGAACCAATAAGCCAGGGAACTTTGCTTATTTTTCCAGCTCTTGTGAAGTTTCAGGATTTGTTTCATTTATTCTGAAAATCCCCTCAGGTCTTCCTCTACAATACCTGTGTTGATAACCAACCTTTACCTGGAATTAAAGAGACTGCCAGGGCTTGTTGACCAACGGTGGCTTTGCCAGAGCATTAATAAGAACACTAGTCCATAGACAAATCCAATGAAGTCCTTTTGCTCCTAAGATAATGGCCTCACAGGTGTTACCTGCAGGAGATCTCAGTGCCTTCCCAGTGGAGACAGAAACACAGGCTTGTTCTAGCCTCAGAGAGAGGGTTGACAATAATCAGCCTAAAGTAGTTGATTGTGTGTGACACACTTGAGTGATTCATTTCTCTCTGTCGTGTTACAAATGTCATTCCCAAGTCCTCCAGGGGTGTCAGTTCTTACTTTAAGTATTAATTTTAATCTCCATTTATTCACTTCTTCTAGGCAGCTATCAGGGACTCCAGTTACATTTTTAAAGCCATCTTTCTTTAGACTTTTCTTTATGTTTTCCCCAGAAGTGGTGACTAGTGTTTCATTGATTCTGTAAACAAGAATGGCAGTTCTGATAGTGAAGCATTTTAATCGGCTGTTTAAGCACTTCTCTTAATTCAGAAGTTACTTAAAGCTGAGAAGATTCCATTCTGGTAGAATGGCTGCAAGCAAAGAATAATTCAGCTACTCGGCTACTTGTCATCTTGTCCATTTTGGACCCTTCTGCATTGTCTATCTTATAAACCTATAAGGTTTTTCATCTTTTATCAGACTCTCTTGGCAGCAACTAATTTCTATTAGCAGAATCCCACAATTCATCTCTGAAGGGCCCTGAGAAAGCAAACAATTAGCTTCACTTACATCCTCCATCTGTCCATTTTTCTTTTTCCATAAGTTGTGATCCAAGAAATTGTGCCTGTATATCTGAAGAACAATTCTACAAAATACTGACAGCAGAAAATACTGCTTTCCTTTGAATTTTCATGTCCCTAAAATGTTTGAATGTTACAAAATAGTCTTCCTCTTTTACTGCATGCATCTATTAGTTTCCTAATGTTGCAACAAGAAGTTAATCTTGCAACAAACACATTGCATATGGTGGTTTGCTGTTGTGTGCAGCTGAATCAATTCTGACTCATAATGACCCTATAGGACAGAGTAGAACTGTCCAACAGAGTTTCCTAGGCTGTAATCTTTATAGGAGGAGCTCTGGTAGCATAGTACTTAAGGCACTTGACTGCTAACCAGAAGGTTGGTGGTTCAAACCCACCAGCCATTCCTCAGAAGGAAGTTTGGGCAATCTTCTTCCATATACTGCCTCAGAAACTCAAGGAGGGGTTGCTATGAGTTGGGTCCAACTTGACAGCACGTAACAACATAACAATCTTTAGGGGAGCAGATCGCCAAGTATTTTCTTCTTCAGAGAAGCTGGTGGGTTCAAACTGCCAACCTGCCAGTTAGCAGATGAAAACTAAACCATTCCACCACCAGAGCTCCTCATTAAAAACCAAACTCTCTGCCATCCAGTTGGATCTGACTCATAGCAACCCCTCCTTGGGTTTCCAAGGCAGTATCACTACAGAAGTAGTTTGCCCACCCTTCCTTTTGAGGAGTGGCTAGTGAGTTTGAACCGCCAGCCTTCTGGTTAGCAGTCAAATGCCTTAGGCACTACACCACCAGAGCTGCTCATTAGAGGGGGCGAGAAAATTCCCAATGATGTATGCAGTGGACAATTCAGAACACTCTGTGGAAATTCCATAACAGGAAAGATACCAGAAGGAGCAGGACAAGCTGAAAGAAGAATGGGAAAAGGCCCAAAAGGAGGTGGAAGAGGAAGAACGCAGATACTATGAAGAGGTAGGAAATTCCCGGAAAGAAATTTGACCCTGTAGTCCAAATTCATCAAAGTCTTTCAATAACTCTTTGTATCCATGGCATGTGCATGCATGTGGCTATGTCTGGTTCCTTTTACTCAGAAGAGATCCCCATCAACCTCCTTAAAAGAGGCAGAGCATATAGAATTGAAGAGACTACAACTCCCCAAAATTTGGTTTGTGATAAGGGTAGACTGAGCCATGGTATAGAAATAGGACACAGTTACATATCTGTTATTTAGTCAGAGATTTGGAGTCTTGATTTATCTTAGAGAGATGACATGAAGGAATATTTTTTGTTTATTTGTTTGTTTGCTCTTGGTGAGTGTATGCCTGTTGTTGTTGTTGTTGTTATGTGCCGTCGAGTCAAACCCGACTCATAGCGACCCCTCCTTGGGTTTCCGAGGCAGTATCACTACGGAAGTAGGATTGCCCAACCTTCCTTCCGAGGAGTGGCTGGTGGGTTTGAACCGCCAGCCGTCTGGTTAGCAGGCAAGTGTCTTAGCCACTATGCTACCAGAGCTCCTAGAGTGTATGCCTGGTAGCAGAAAATAAATTTTATGATGGTAATTTTGATAACAAATCTAAACTAAGGTCCCCTTACCACTACATTCCCCATGTAGCACTAAAAAGATCTAGAGGAAGAAGAATTTTTTTTTGTCTTGTTTTTTAGAGAAACAAACCAGACCACCTTAAAGAATCTGAAAGGGGCTCTGCTTCATGTATATTATCAAAAAAAAAAAAAAAAAAGATCAAATATTGTTGTAAATTTTATCTTCAAAAATAATTTTTGTGCATAATCAGATCCCTAAGTAGTATTTCTAATTAGGCTTTTTGAATCACACTAAATAATTAATGTGTAAAGACTTTGTTTTCTAAATTAAATGCTAATTTCTAAATCATTGCCCACAAGGAATATTACATGATTTGCATGCTTTAGGAAAATAAGATTTTTTTTTCAATGCCCTGATAATTTGCACACATTCTGAAGTTTTTCCTAAAGTTTCCCAATAAAATTTTTCTCTTAGCAAATGTTATCTCTCATTTTTTAGGAACGCAAGATAATTGAAGACACGGTGGTTCCCTTTATTTCCTCAAGTTCTGCAGACCAGCTGTCAACATCCTCCTCTATAACTGAAGGCAGTGGGACAGTGGTGAGCCCATAGATTAAAAATGATTTGTGAAATAAATAAACATAAATAGAAGTACAAAACCACAGGCCAAGTTGTCCCACTAGACTCAATAGTTAACTCCAGGACTAGCTAATGTCCTAGAATGATGCCAACTACTGTGTAGCCACTACATCCCATTATACTGTCACTGCACTGGCTACACCCTAGAATCATTTCCTGAGGAGCACTTAAGTCAGCCATGCAGGATCTGCCTCAATAGGCTGACAATCAACATCTCTTCACACCTGGCTGGCAAGATCCCAATTACCAAAACCACATGCTGGAAACGTCCTCACTGACAGCTTTCCAGCTCATTCATTCATTCATTCAGGAAACATTTGTTCCTCTCTGCCATGCCTTCCTGGGCAGTAGGTGATAGCAGGCATGCCAGCAATGTGCTTTCTACCAGCCTCTGTGAGATTGCTTCTAGCCCCACTCCTGATATCCCACAAGAATATTCAGTAGTGAACCAGAAAGACTAGAAAGGCTGGCCTACCTCCATGTCCTGAAAACATAGTCACAGAGGTACTACATAGACATCATGCCAAGACCTGGGTAAGCCATCAACCCATTGCCATCAAATTAATTCCAACTCATGGCTACCCCATGGGTCCAGAATAGAACTGCTCCCTAGGGTTTTCTTGGCTGTCATATTTATAAAAGCACACCACCAGGCCTTTCTTCTGTGGCGCCACTGGCTGGGTTCACACTGCCAATGTTTAAGTTAGTAGCTAAAACTAAACCATTTGCACCACCCAGGGAACTTCAGTAGGAGCTATGGTGGCATAGTGCCTAAGGCATTTGACTGCTAACCAGAAGGCTGGTGGTTCAAACCCACCAGCCGCTCCTTGGAAGGAAGATGGGGCAATCAACTCGAGGGCAGTGAGTTTGGATTTTGGTTTTGAGGGACCTTCAGTAAGCCTGAATAAAATAGCCCATGGACTCTAAAAAGTCATTTGTCCTGAAATGAGCAATCCTGTGAGTTAACTTTTTTTTTTTTTTTTCAGAAAAGAGGCTTTCTAATCAATGTACTTTTATGATTACTTGTGAGAGAGGTGTACATGATTCATTTATTCCAAATAGTTGGAAATCAGTTATTATTCAGTTAATTTGAACAACTGATAATGATTTTACTGTTTTTAAATTGTAGGCAATGTGAGTGAAAAATGCCTCAAGTATCTCATGGTCAGAGAGGTGCTGTCAAATGTGTTAGGCATTCTATTCAAGATTGTCCTTGTTCTTCTCCTCAGAATAAGATGGACTTGGACTGTCGAGAAGAAGAAGAGAGAAAACAGAAGAAACCATTCCAGGGGGATGATAATGACTTATTGCTTAAAAACAGGGAAAGCGATCCACTGGAGGAAAAGAGGAGGTATGAACCCCTATTGGGCTGTCCATCAAAACACGGCACAGCCTGACTCTGCCCGATCACTTGCTAATGCAAATCACATTCAGCTTTTAAATCATCATTCCAGTAATACAGTGCATATTTCTTAAACACAATCTAATAGCTCTGAAGTAAGTGTCTTTTGGATAGTGAATACAAATAGGCTTATTTTTAAATAGAAGAAACCTTTTTTAAACAAGGAGGGACAGGGAGAGTTTTTGCTTATGGGGCATTGAGTTTATGTTAATGGTGGTAGAATATTTTGGAAAAGGATAGTAATAATGATAGCATGACATGAAACATGTAATCCATGTCATTGAATTATAAATGTGGGATTTTTGGGGGCTGGCAAATGTTTTGACATGTATAGTTTCACCACAAAAAGAAACAACAACAACAAAGAAGAGATTGTATAGACTATCAAAGGAGCATGTTGTCAATTCAAAGCCTTAAACCAAGACATCATTCATCTGAAAGAGTGAATGTGTGTGGAGGAAGACAGATTGAAATGAGGCCCTGGGGTCCCACCATGGTTTTACTGCGGACCTGGACTTTGCCAATAGTATCACCTGAGCTGTGAGAAGTCACATTTATTGTGGATGAGCATGTAAAGGCTATCCAACAAACCGTGGATTGTTGTGAGTAATCACCTCACCCATGGTTCCAGTATGTTCCTTGGAAGATCAGAACAGGATACTCAAAAACCCCTGGCACATTGAGAGCTGGCTCAGACTGGAAGAGACTCTGGTCATAGCCAGGGACCGCAGTGGGTTTACTGATGTCACCCCAGGCCTAACCTAGAAGGAACCAGCAGAGAGACCAGGAGGCAGAGTCCACCAGCTTGTTTTTTATGAAATAGCTGTTGGCTCCTGGGGCTTCCTTCAAACTTGGCTCTTAGCTACCAGATAGGTGTTGGCATTTGCATGCACACACACACACATACACACAGCAGCAGCCCCAGAGCGACCTAAAGACACAAAAAGCTATCTAAGTATTATTTACAAAGACTGGTCAATTTCTAAGTTTGGCTGAGAGCTGAGCTCTTCTGCTGGGGCTTTGTTCTGAGAAATCTATGCACAGCAGCTGAAAGACTGGGTGACTTGTAGGTTGTAGAAGTGTTGGACCCATATTGAGAAACTGCATAGTGCTTTGGTCAGCATGTATGTTTCTCTAACACTGTTTAAGAGGACTTTCCAGTTTTATAAAATAAAAGCCACCGGTCAAGATTGGAACAATATGCATTTTATGTGAATTTTTGCTAGTTCTCCAGAGGGTCCCTGTTGTCACCAGCTTTTCTTTCATCTCTTCCACCCTGACTTTCTTCGTAGCCAGAATCTGCTAAAAGGCCATTGAATTAACATGGGCAGCAAAGGTCCCATGAGGCCCAAACATTTTCTAAAATAAGTCCTAATTCTCTTGTGACAATCTGGGAGATTCCAATTAGCTCTGGCATCTCTTGAAATTGTTAGGATAAAAAGTTTCGTGGACAGGGAGGTGGCAAGAACATCAGAAATGATGGTTTCTTAAGTTTGTTAAATTGCTGGATAATGAAAATATGTACCATTTTATAATATTTTAAATCCATTTCAAATCTCATTCAATATAAAAGAATTAATTTTTTTTTAATTAGTCCTATTTCTTTTTAAATGTTATAACTAGCATTCCCATACTTTAATCAGTAGGACCAATGAGTTCAATGGTCCCTGGAGAAGGATCTCATGCTTGGTAAAGTGGAGGGTCAGCAAGAAAGGGGAAGACTGTCAATGAGATGGACTACACAGTGGCTGTGATGTTGGGCTCAAGCACGGCAACAATTGTGAGGATGACACAGGACCAGTCAGTGTTTCATTATCTTGTACACAGGGTTGCCAGAGCCTACTCAATGGCACCTAACAACAACATCTAACAAAACATGCCTTAAGCAGTGGGACCTATGAGTTCAGCTCCATTACTTTTATCTCTGTTCTGAAATATATTTATTTCAACAGCCAAACTCCAGGGACCCTGGCTCAATCTGAGAACCCTGTACCAAAAGGAATCCATCAGGACCAGCCTCTGGAAACAGAAGCTGGAGCTGCGCACTGTGAGATTAACCCACAGCTATCTCAGGGTAAGAATGGAGAAGACCAATCTCCATGTTTAAAGGTTTAATTTCTAGCAACATAAACCATGGGTCAGATAAAGCAATTGCTTTCCATAGTATTTTAGCAATTATATTCCAAGTTACAATTGCACCCATCCAAATTTGTGTTCTGTACTGAATAAAAAGTCAGTATTTTTTAAGTGATACTATTACATCAGAAATCGGTTAGCGGAAAGGGTCTAGTTCCTTTGTTTTCAGGACTAATTCACAGAACAGTGAATAAACTGGATGTTGCCTCTACCATGTGTCCAGGGCTTACATGAAATCTGTGTGAGACTTCAGCAGGCATTAGCATTTTAAAGAAAGATGACTTACTAAGCAATAAGGTGACTTGACAGCAACTAACAACAACAGCAAGGTGACTTTGTTGTTGTTGTTGTTGTTGTTATGTGCCGTCGAGTCGGCCCCGACTCATAGCTTTACTGAACATTAAATTTATGCTCTTTGTTTGGCCTCAGATCCATCCAGGAATCAGCAGGTATTAAACCCACCTACGCACATGTCAGGAGATGTGAAGCCAAAAACCCTGCCACTGGATAAAAACATTAACCATCAGATTGAGTCTCCAAGTGAAAGGCGGAAGTAAGTAACCACATAAAATGGAAGTGGGGTTCCTTTTCTAATTTATTGACTTACGAGGGGAAAAATGAAAAAGGGTGAGATGGCAAGATGTCAACAGCATTTTTGTGTCTTCCTTTCATTTAATCCCATTGACAAGATAATAAATAGTTGCAGAAGGCTGAGACAACACTCCTGGCAATTAAATATTGACTCTCAATTTTTTAACCTATAGGAAGAATCTTCAGAACCTGTTGCATTAGTAATTTATTTGAGTTAAATTGTCTCAGAGACTATTGATAAAGTTATTTCAAGGGAAAAAAAATCATCGTGCTGTCCTATTAAGGTAGCCGTATGGGCTGTCTTTTAATTTTATAAGAATTGTATGTGTGTGTGTTTACGATAATAATAGTTCTTATCATTTTTAAGCATTTCAATATAACAAACATGGTGTTGAAGGGTTTACATATATTTCTCTCTTCATTTCACATATTAACTCACTGACCTCTTCCAGTAACTTTTTGAGGTCATTGATCCCGTTTACCAGATGAGGAGATAGAGACTTGGGGAAATTAAAAAATTTACCCCAACATACTTGACCAGTGAAATAGCAGAGGATATCAAAATGAATCCACAGTTCTGCAGAAAGATCATATTTGAGCCAAAGGTTCCTTGTCATCACAATTTTAAAAATATAACATTTGGTATAATTCAATGACTATCTGGAATCAGATTGCCTAGATTCAAACTTTAACTCTGCCACTTGCCCGCATAATAACCTTAAGCAATTTATACCTCAATTTCCTAATCAGTAAAATGGGAATAATAATAGTATCTACCCCATAGGCAGAACTCTGGTGGCATAGTGCCTAAGGTATTTGACTGCTATCCAGAAGGTTGGTGGTTCAAACCCACCAGCCGCTCCTCGGAAGGAAGATTGGGCAATCTACTTCCATAGTGATACTGCCTCAGAAACCCAAGGAGGGGTCACTATGAGTCAGATCTGACTTGACGGCAGTGACCCATAGCACTTCATGCTTGGTGACTAGTAAGTGCTATATAGTGAATGATGATGATAGTGGTGATGAAGATGATGATAACCTATTTATAAGAGAAAAATATCCATTTTTGCCTTATTTTCTCATTACGTCTTGACTTTTCTTAATACAGTGCTTAAACCCTTGCCCCTTTGTTTATGTTCAACCAGTTTTGTGGGCATATGACATTTGGAATCAATAGAAACTAAAATCATATAAAAGTAATCATCATTGTTACTGATTCTTGAAGTAGTTTTCAACCCTTTTTTAAAGCAGTGGTGCCTGTAGTTTAGAGTCTTATCTGAAAATGCAAAACAGGGAGGTTTGGGTGGGTAGGAAGTTCGGGGAGTTATGGTGACAGCACAGTTAGAAGACAGACGGACTCTGTTCACATCTCTGTTGGGATTTCTCTTTTCCTCATTCTTCTCCATGTTCTACTCCTTTCTATGTAAATGAAATTAAATGAATATTTAAAAGCAAGAGCCCGGAACTGATAGCTTAATCACAGGCAGAGTTCATGGACAACAAAAGCACCTGGATAACTGTTCTAGTAGCTTTTGACTTGTGACCATTCTGAGTTGTTGATGCCCATGACATAAAAACCAAACCTACTGCCATCAAATCAATTCCAACTTATAGTGACTCTACAGGACAGACTAGTACTGCCCATAGGGTTTCCAAGGCTGTCAATCTTTACAGAAGCACACTGTTTTATCTTTTCTCCTGCAGAGTGGCTGGTGCGTTCAAACCACCAACCTTTTAGTTAGTAACCCAATCTTTTACCACTGTGCCATTATGTCTATGGCATAGTAGTTGTGAAATATTTTGAACATCATCCCTCATGACACATATCTATAATGAGTTTATTGATAGAAGTGGAAGCCACCTCACTGATAAACACCTCCTTGAAGCTCTACCATTTATTTCTAGACTAAGCTTGTTCCTGGCTTCCTACTCATCTTTGCTCTACCACTGTGTCCATAATTTTTCTATCTAACTCTGCATGCCAAAAGCAGGTTGCAATGTAAAAGAAAAAAAAAAAAAACCTGTGGACAGAATAAACCATTCAGAAAGGGATCAAAATTGGAGATTCTGGATAGAGTGGGAGAAAAATGTGGAACAAAACTCAAAATCATAATAAAGACCAGGCTTACTGATCTGATAGACTGATGAAACCCCCAAGACTATATCCCCTATGACCTTTCAGGCCTGAAATTTAACTCACTCCCATGGCCTACCTTCCAGCCAAACAATAAACAGCCTACAAGGTGAGCAATACACAAGCTAGGTATACTCCTTGGAACATTCAACCATGGGAGATCAGAAGGGCAGCATTTGTGCAAGGAGAAAGCCCAGAGGGCAGGAATGCATAAGAAAGAAGGACACAGGGAAAGGTAACCACGGGGAGGAATTGGGAAGAGAACTGTTACATTTTGGGTATTGCAGTCAATGTCACAAAACAAAATGTGTGCAAACTGTTGAATGGAAAACCAATTTGTTCTCTAAACTTTCACCCAAATCACAGTGATAAAAAAGAAAAGAAAAAACTCCTGGCAAAATAAAGATTTAAAATATAGTCTGTCTCTCCTGTTGGACAGTGGCAGCCTGGTTTTGATCTTATGTAGCCAACACATGTTCAGTCCTTGCTAGGCAATTACTATTTTTGTCCTTCTAAAAATTACCATTAGGACACTGCCGTCTTTGATTTGGTTGCCAAGGAAGATCAGGGTTTGTTTTGGTTTTTTTTTACCTAAAATAGATTTTTTGTGTGTGGATTGGGCTTCTCTTACCTTGTCATAATTGTTGGTTCCTTTACCACGTTACAGGACAAGCCCTCAAGAGAATTTCAAGGCTGGACACTTGTCCCCTTGCTCTCCCACTCCTCCTGGCCAGTCACCAAACAGGTACAAGAGGTCAACGGGCTTACCTGAGGCTGCTTGGTTTTATTTGACAAGACCTTGTCAGCATAATTGCAACTGAATTTGTTGTTGTTGTTGTTATGTGCCGTCGAGTCGGCCCCGACTCATAGCGACCCCTCCTTGGGTTTCCGAGGCAGTATCACTACGAGTTGCCAAATGATTTTGAGGGATTTGTCTATCCACATCTCTTCCTATACACACACACACACACACACACACACACAGGAGGAAAGAAAACATTGCCCATCTGCTTGTCTACTTGTCAACCCACAAAAGAAAAAGCGAAGTATGTGACGTTGGTGTGGCTATGACCACAGGGCTTTAATTACATTGTGTGGAACCTTCAATCTAATAATAAAATCTCCCAGACAATTGCTGGGCTCCTCCATCGGCGCCTTTCCCTCTAAGTCAGCTCAGTGCTCCTGGGCAGGGTCCGGTGATGGCTCTTACAGAGAACCAGGCGAGGCTAAGAAAAGAAACTGCATCCTTCTCTTTGAATCCACTCCAGTTCTCTAATGATTGCTTCTGGACACTAATTGGGCCCCATGATACTCTTAACAGCTGCTTGAATTTCCATTCACTGGAGAAACAAATTACTGAGTACTCTGAGGTTCTCTTTGATTTAGAAATTTAGTTCAACTTCTGGAGAAGAGGGAAATCCTAATAAATAGAGTTTGCTTGCGGCAACTCTTCCTTCCTCTTTCCTATTGTCCTCCTTTCTCTACTGCTGTCCCTCTGCTCCCATTGACTTTCAAATGATGTTGCATTATTTTAAAGGTTTCTGTGTAATTCTAAGAACTCTTCAGACAATAGGCAGCATTGCAGTCAGTAAAAGCTGCTTTAAGAAGATAGTCATCTAACTTCAGGTGGTTTGTTGACCATGTCTTATCTCCTGGTGTTGGACTGTTGGCCTTGGTTCCAGTCCACTGGCCAGGCCTGTTCTAGAGGCTGCAGGCATATACAAATCAGGTAGACACAGCCCACACCCTCCAGCTTAAAGCTTAAAGCTTGGAATCACAGACTCATGGCATGTATGGACCAGAAGTGGTTCTAGAGATAATCCTGTCCAGTTCCCTCATTTCAAAGGCAAAAGGGAAACACGGAATGACTTCTTTATATCAGATCACAAAACTTAGTGGGCGGAGCAAGGATTTAATCCTGTGTTTTAGACATTAGACCCTGTATCTCTGTGATAAGTATTCTATGTATCACAATTCTCTATTTTAAAACTAAAAAAAATTTTTTCTTCACAAGGAAAAAAAAAAAAATGCCCTAGTGGGCAGTTATGAAAAATGTTAAAGCAACATTGAAACCTTAGTAAAACTAAGCTTGATTACATTTTAAGAGTTATGAAGCTATATGATAAATACATTAAATCATCTCAAGGTATTTGATCACTGGTTGAACAAACTACAACACAAACTTCTGGAACAATTAACTTACACACACACACTTAGCAAATTTAATACCGCAATAAAGCCCTATTGTATTTCGTTTAGCAGTTGTCTGCAACCTATATCTAATATTTAATTTCCTGTTCATTATCAGTTCAATAATTTTCAATTATGATAAAAATGTTACCTATGGGAAGAAAAATACCTAGAACTGCTTTTTAAAGCCTTTTAAAACTCCATGTTTTCATCTTTTGCATGAGATTACATATTTGTGTATGTGACCAACTGTTCTAAACTGAAGTATAATATATATTATAATAATAATTATTATTATTATTTTAATCTAGGTCTATAAGTGGGAAAAAGCTGTGCTCTTCCTGTGGCCTGCCTTTGGGTAAAGGAGCTGCTATGATCATCGAGACCCTTAATCTCTATTTTCACATCCAGTGCTTCAGGGTATGTGCTCATCACTCTTCTCATTAAGTACAATTTAGTGATATCTTTTAGCATCCTCTTTGCTAAGAAATATCTCTTGGAGATCCTGAAGGCCTTTGCTATATTTCCCTCCTTTAAGTTGTGTAGAAGTGTGGGCAGAGTACAGCCTTTTAGGATAACCCTTTCTATCATGCATTTCTCAGGGATGTTGGTTTAGAAGAGGCTAAACAGATTTGTCGGGAACTCTTGTGGCACAGTGGTTAAAGTATTCAGCTGCTAACCAAAAGGTTAGCAGTTTGAACCCACCAGCTGCTCTGTGGGAGAAAGAAAAGGCAGTCTGCTTTTGTAAAGATTTGCAGCCTTGGAAACCCTCTGGGGCAGTTCTACTCTGTCTTATGGGATAGCTTTGAGTCAGAATTGACTCATTAGCAGTGATTATTTTTTAAAAAACAAATTTGTGCAAGTGATGTTGTCTTTACATGACAATTTTTTATTGATAATGACAATATATACTAGTAGGAAGCTGAAAGTTCCACACTGGGATGACAGTGATGCTTCTGAGTGATTTGTTGTTGTTGTTATGTGCCGTTGAGTCGGACCTGACTCATAGCAACCCCTCCTTGGGTTTCCGAGGCTATCTCACTATGGAAGTAGATTGCCCAACCTTCTTTCTGAGGAGTGGCTGGTGGGTTTGAACCACCAGCCTTCTGAGTCGTTTAGAGCCATGTAAATTAATTTGGAATATAATGTCTTTGCTGCTTCTTGGTTTCTTGTGACTTAATGTCAAGGGGCATTTAGTCTTTGACCTAATGTCAATTACATCTTCCTAGCTAGCTACAGAAGTTTAGATCTCAGATGGAATGTCTGTGATTTCAGATTGAATATAATTCCCTCCAAGAAGCTGGCCTGTTGATTCAGACCAAGTCAGTTACCTTTCTTACACATCCTTATAGAATGTTTCATGGGCCTTATCACTTATTACCAAATTCTTTTTTTTTTTAATATATTTTATTGAAATATAATTTATGTACAGTAAAATACACAAAACTAAAGTGACATGGGTCAGTGAATTTCACTTATTACTAAATTCCTTAATTATAATCAGTCTCATTAAATTGGCTATAAACTCCATAAAGAGATGGATCATATCTATCTTTATCCCACTATTGTGTCCGTACCTAACAGAATAAAGCAAACCAAACCAAACCCACTGCCATTGAGTCAATTCTGACTCATAGTGACCCCAATTGGGTTTCTGAAGCAATAAATCTTTATGAAAGTAGACTACCCCATCATCCTTCTGCTGAGTGGCTGGTGGGTTTGAACTGTCAACCTTCTGGTTAGCAGTCAAATGCCTTAGGCACTGCACCACCAGAGCTCATTACCTAACAGAATAGGTGTCAATAAATCTTTTTAGATGAATGAGTTAATGAATAAACTGCAAATGAGGAGGCCTAAATTCTAATAAGTAGGTAAGCTAACCAGTGACTTATACTTTATTTGCTATAAAATTCATGAGATTGAGTATATCAGCATTTCCTGTCTTTCTTGACTCATGAGCACATTTCAAATTAATATGTAATTTTTAAAGCCAAACCTTGCAGCACTTGAATAAGGGTCATCTCTTTCTTTCCATAACTCTGACATGCTTGCTTTTTCCTTCTTGGATGTTTCAGTATTTCCTGTTCATAGCTTCCCGGGTTATAATGTAGATTTGCATGGGTTTAAAATGACTCTCACCTTGCCTGAATGCTAATTGAAAACTGAGTGACATTGTCCCCAAACTATTAATTGAATAATGTCAGAAATTATTCAAAAGCAAGACTTATCCATAATATACTTATTATAGATTCAATGTATCAAACATACTGGAATGAGACCACAGTTTCCCATTTCCTGAGTTCTATTTTATTTTTTTACAGGATAATTTCACAAAGGACAACTACATATACTCTCATTGTAAAATTAACCTAAATGATGTTTATCCTAAATTATCTAGAAGGGTTTTAATGCTCCAGGAATATATCATTTTAATTTCATTGTAATGCCAAGATGATATGTTCCACCACCACATTTTATACTCAGAAAGTTTACCAAAGCTACAAGAAATGGAGGTGGCAAAGGGTCTTTGCAGATTATCAAGGGATAGCATATTGACATTCCTAACTTCCAAGGCTTTTATTCCCTGTAATCATTCACTTCCTGGAGCTGGTCTGATGCTTAGATTTATTACCCACCCTGGTGATGTAGCTGCAGCTTGTAGTATAATTTGAATGAAGCTATCCCCTCTCCCAGGTGACTTCAGGATCCCTTCTCTTGAACTGGGTCCCAATCCCCCAGCTAGAGCCTGGCATCTGGACCAACTCCTGCTCTGGTACAACCAGGTGGTGTATCCCTCAGTTTCCTTCTGTACAAAGGCTACCTTGGTTGAAAGAAATTCCATTTCCAGTGGATTTGTTACTCTGGGCATCACTGCCTTTAATGTAGAAACATGGAATGAAATAGCTATTGCCTAGAAATTCTGTTCTGGTGGAACTTACCAACAGTGCTGGAAAGCATTTTAAAAGGTTATTTGCAGACAAGTTTCCTTTGATAATTCATTGGCTGTGTGTTTATTTAAAACCACCAGTGCTTAGTCTGTTTAAAATGGTTCCCTCATCTTGATAGAGAGTGTATTATAGAGGTTGAGAGCATAGGTTTTGGACTCAGCCCAACACAACACCGCTGACCAGCTTTACAACTTTGGACAAGTCAGCTAACCTCCCTGAAACAATGTCTTCCTCTGTGAAATGAAAGGAGTTAGGAGAAAATCCTAAAAGCATTTTCTTGCCCTAAGTCAACTCTTGATACAGCTCCTAGCATGTAGCAGATGCTCAACAAATATGCAGACTATAGAAGTGATTCCTGGTCTAGTCATGTAAACAATAACTGAGCGATATAAAGAAACCTCCTCAACAACAGTAAAAGTAAAATATTTTTTAAAAAAAGAAACAATTTCTCATGTATCTTGTTACCTTTGTTCTTTTTACCCTATAGTGTGGAATTTGTAAAGGACAGCTTGGCGATGCAGTGAGTGGGACGGATGTTAGAATTCGAAATGGACTTCTAAATTGTAATGATTGCTACATGCGATCCAGAAGTAAGTACTGGGGAAAAGCCTTGAGATGAGGGATGTGATCATATGCCTTTCATGGAACCCAATATAGGAATTCAGTATTTCTCTCCATTAATAGCACCACCCTGAGTAAAACATGTATTAGCATCTATTGTTCTTGTTAGCTGCCATCGAGTGAGCACCAACTCATAATGACCTTACATATAACACAAAACATTGCCTGGTACTGTACATCTTCATAACTGTTGCTATTTGAGCCCATTATTTCAGCCACTGTATCAATCAATCTCACTTAGTACCTCCCTTGCCTTTGCCAACCCTCCATTTTACCAACTGTGATGTCTTTCTCTAGCCATTGGTCTTTCCTGATGATATGTCCAAAGTAGACAAGCTGAAGTCTCACTATCCTCACTTCTAAAGAGCATCTGGATTGTACTTTTTCTGTGGTTGCTCTCCATAAGATTTTCACTGGTTAATTTTCCAGAGTAGATCGCCAAACCTGTCTTTCTAGTCTGCCTTAATCTGGAAGCTCTACTGAAACTTGTCTATCATAGATGACCCTGCTGGGATGTGAAATATTGGTAGTATAACTCACAACATCATAGCAACATGCAAGCGCCCACAGTGATGGCATCTAGGTGAAAGAAATAACCCCTATTTGGTACTTGTTCTTACTAGAAGTGACTGCTACGCTGTGCACTTATTCTTTCCACCCAGAAGTGCATAAACACACCAGCAGATAAAAACTATGGGCCAACTTTGAGACCCTGACACAGCTCACTATAGAGATTGTGATGAGGTAGAAGGAAGGTATCAGGACTGTGAAGCACTCTTCATTGTTGAGGCACATCTTTAGAAGACCAACACCATTTAGAGATTGTTTACCTGTGAAGAGTGGCTCGCCACTGTTTATCAAATCAAGCGCCAGCTCCTCAATAGCCACATGCTCTATGTTCAGGAATTTCATTACCTGACGTAGTTTTGTTACCAACTTAATTGAAAGTTCCTTGAGAGACAAAATGGTGGCTTCTGATCCTCTGTGAACTGCCATTCCAATGCCTTAGTACACAGCCTCGGAGCTGTCTTGAACAATCTGCCCTCCCGTCATTATGTGGGTTTCCTGACATAGAATGTGCTTGTTAGTTTGGGGGCACCAGGAGGCGCTGTTGCCCAGCCACAATTTAGAAAATCTTGTCTCAGCTCTTCCCTCACTCCCCACTGAAAGTATAATCCTGGTGGATAACCAGTCAAAACCCCATTCTTTTAAGAAGTAAAAAATGAAGTGAAAAAAGGCGTTTGAAATTCAAGAATGTTTTATTATTTCTCAAAGTAAGTAAAGTACCATTTTTACAGCCTTTTTACATGAGTCTCTAAATCTGCAAGACAGAAGACTTTAAGGGTAAAAATTGAAATTAACCTGTTTCGAGCTATAGTTTTAATAAATTCAGAGAAGTATGTGCCTATCTTAATAAAATAATTTAAAAAAAAATTCCCATCGAGTCGGATTTGACTCATAGTGACACCTCCTTGGATTTCTGAGGTGGTATCATTACGGAAGTAGATTGCCCAACCTTCCTTCCAAAGAGTGGCTGGTGGGTTTGAACCTCAAGCCTTCTGGTTAGCAGTCAAATGCCTTGGCACTATGCCACTAGAGCTCCCCTAATAAAATGATGGGAATTAAAAATTAAATCAAACCCAGGTGGTTTTGATTTATGATGAATATTTGAGTTGAGGTCAAAACAGTTCCAAATGAGAGCTGCTGCCATCAGCCTGGACTGTTTATACCACAATTGGATTTTCTTTGTTGTTGTCTTCATACATCAGAAAGGAAAACTAAAAACTTTGTCTCCCAGGTTTCAAAATTGTTTTTCCTATCATCTGCAAGGGAAGCCTTTTTTCAGCCTTAGTAAACCAGTGGACCGTGAATCATAGAACCAGAAGAGGGCACTGTTAGGTTGTGGATCGACTGTTGAGCCTGACAGAATTTCTTTCATAATTTAAACTGCTCCAAGGATGCCAACGGGAGCTCTGGTAGCGCAGTGCCTAAGGCACTTGACTGCTAACCAGAAGGCTGGCG